ATCTGAACACCTAAAATTTTCACTACTATCCGACCATATATCATCAAGGAAAGTCATCCTACAAATAAGGCAATATATCAAACATCTTTTCCATAAAATTATAGGATGAATGAAGTTCAAAATTTAGAATTATATCAATCCAAAATAAGGAGAACAATCAGGCTCTGTAGTTAAGATAACGTAAGACACAAATATATTGTGCAAAATAGATGTAGGATACGAACTCCAACTTCAAAATTTCCATTTGGTAAAAGAGAACAGCGCAATGCATCATCAATGTCCTTGCACCCTGAGGAAAGCAATATAATAAAGAACTTGCATAAAAAAATGTATAGAGATAACAAGTTAAATTACCATGTTGGTCGACACTAAACACCCTCAAATGCCGCAAATCCTCTCGATGAGGGTTAGCCAATTCTTCATGTGATAATGACCATGGATAAGGTGGCAAGCAAGCAAGCGCTTGCAATGAAAATTTTGTTGAATTTATATCATTTTCAATCAAAATTACCTGTTTCATCCAAAATGGTATTACAACTTTGTGACAATTGTAATAAATTTTAAAAGCATGATCCAATGATCCATTGAGTGAAAGTAACATCTTTAGACATAACAAAAATGTTCAAAGATCACCAAAACATCGCAGTACATAAACTTCAAATTATTTTGAACTTACCTCATTTTCAACCTCTCTTTCACCAATCTCTCCAATAGTTTCAACATGATGCCCACATGGATACTTTGATGAGCAATCCCAAGAATCAACTTCAACAATGATTCTTTTATTTAAAAGTTTCTGAAGATGCCCACCCTGAATGCAGATCATGGGAATTCTACAATCTGTTGAGATAAAGAAAGCTTGGGGTGTGCCGCCATTTTCTATAGACAATGACGATGGTTTCAAGGACTCACAATAACTGCATGAAAGATAATTAAACCAAATATTAATGCATGAATAAAGAGCCAAAATCATGAATTATAGTAAAAGATAATATTAATATTTATTAAATAAAAAAGAAAAGTCCTACATCTACCAAAACAACAAAATATTTAACAATTCAATGGAAGATAAATTTGAATATATAGTCGAGTACTAGATTTTTTTTTCAACTTACCGGCTCCAATTTCTCTCTATAATACCAACGACACGGCCGAATGAGCGACTTGAAACAGCAGCTGTTGATCCAGCACAAGCTTTTGCATTCCTTGGAGCTTCATCAACATTACCTGGAACAATATGAACGTCATCTTCATCATCTTCATCTAAAAACTAATATTAAGCATAAATAAACGCACCATTAACATTCTCAACAATGAAGGACTTCTCCTCCGTCTGCTGGCAATGAGGCCAATACTTCCACAGCAACAATATCTCCATTGAAAGCTCTATTCCTTGATGGTAAAATCCATGGAGAAGGCCATAAGTAATATCTGAAGAAGAAGTAATGTCCATGGAGAAGGCCATAAGTAATATCTGGGTAGATGAGTTCCCGCTTTGATAGCCTTAGATTATTGAATTCTCCCTTTAAAATGGCTAGAGATGTTGGGATGGCAACCAAGTCCGGAAAATTGGGCTGCTAAAGAGATCTTACATATGACTCAACTAAAAAGAGAAATATTTTATTAAAAAATTAAAATGAATTTCATAATTAATACTAATAAATACTAAATGTTGACATCAACTCTAATTTTCTTTGTCAATACTGATATTAAATTGGACTTCTTCATTTTTGGTCTCCTCCCTCTGGAGTAGAACAATTGAATAAGTCAAAAATATTATTTTGAAGATAATTTTAATGCATCAATAGTCTTAAAAATTCAATCATAGAATTCATCCTCCAGAGTTCGTGTTTACTACATTATATCAATGTCTTTCCCAATCACAGCGAAGGGCCTCATTTATAACATTTATCATATACTAATTATAGAATCATTTTAACTATGTTATGCCCTATAATTTTTTTTTTCCTATTATTGATTTTTTTCATAGAAACTACAGTCGTCTTATAACCTTATTTTATGTGTATGTATTGTATGTATTGAATCTTCATATAAAGCTAAAATAACTCTCTCTCTCTCTCTCTCTCTCTCTCTCTCACACACACACACACACACACACACACATACACACACATGCACACATTATGAATTTTCTATCATTAAAGCAACTTAAAAATATGAATCAATCTACTTAGAACCTTACTTTTAGGAGTCTTTACCGCGATTGATATAAGCCATTGCATTGTATTTCGAAGTGTAATATATATTTGATCGATCTAACATGAAGATTCTATCATTAAAGCAACTTAAAGAAATTGAGTTACTCAACTCACTATTATAAATTTTAGAAATATCAAGATATTTTCTTTATCTATTAGAGGTAGCAAGAGATGTGCTATTTTCAAGTATGTTTTTTTATAAATAATATTACATTTTACATTTATATTTAAAAATATCTCATGGGGTGGAATGAATACAGGCTTTTCACTTTAAACATGTGGAAGGCATGCTTATATAGATGTTATTGATTTTAGGTCAGGGAAGGGGTCAGTATTGAATAGAGAAAGGCTGATCGAGATTTAGATTTTTCTTCTATTTATATATTTTAATTTATTCTTTTATAATTAAGAGTAGAAAGAAAATTTGATTGATGTATTTATAGAACTCCTGATTATTGTACATGAATTCTAATAGATGATCAAAGTTATATATTTTGATGTATACAATTATTAGTTACTTCTACTAGAATGAATTATATTGATAGATTATTAGTAGCTTTGATATTTTAATTAGAGGTTAAAATAGAAAATTCTTCTAAATTTGATCATGTGGATATACACTATTTATTTATATCAATAATATATTAACATTTATTTCTTAAGGGAAAATTCTATAAAATGGTAGTGAGACCTGCAATGCTTTATGGTGTCGAATGTTGGCCATTAAAAGAGAAGCATAATACTAAGTTAAGTGTTGCATAGATGAGGATGTTTAGCTGGATGAGTGGCTTGACCCTTGGAGATAGAATACGAAATGAGCATATACGTGAAAAGGTTGGAGTAGCTCCAGTGGAAGATAAGATTAGAGAGAGTCTCCTTAGATGGTTTGGTAACATTAAATGGAGGCCTTCCGATGACCCTGTTAGAAAAATTGAGGTATTTGATTTGACTTATGTTAAGAAAGGTAGGGGTAGACCTAAAAAAACTTGGTTAGAAAATATTAGAAATGATATTTCTTTATTAAATTTAAATGAGAATTTTACTTTTAACCAATCACAATGGCAAAAAAGGATTCATGTAGCCGACCCCACATAGTGAGACAAGGGTTTGATGAGGTTGTTGTTGTATTTAATAATCTCAAAAGGCTTAAGCCTCAAAAGACACGTGGTTTTTATTTATTTAAAAATCTCAAGAGGCATTAGTTTTAAAAGTACATGATCTATGTTCATCTAAATATATAAAAAATATAAACTAATTTAAGAGCCCAAAGAGCATATGGTATAGGCCAAAGTCCTTATCAACTAAGATATCAATATTACTATAGTCTTGTTGGGGGCAATATTTTTTTTTTATTTTTTTTTGTTAGCTCAAATATTCGACTATGATATGTTAGATTTATAGTTCTCACATATCTAAATTATTTTGATATGAAGGTCGAAAAAAGTTCATTACTTCCTATAACATAAATATTTCATAAGAATTAATAAAAATAATATATATATATATATCGTAATCCCCTTTCTGACAATTCAGCGTAAAAGAAACGCGGCGAGCCTTTTCGCGGGAAAAAATTGGTAATAAAATATAATTAATTATTTAAAGACTCTTTGTATTTCAGTATTTAAATTATAAATATATTTTATATACAAATAAAATAGTGCATTTAAAATTTTTAATTTTATTAGTTTATTATAAAATAAATCCACAAATTCTAATTTATATTTAATTGATAGAAAATAAGTTCCTAAAATCATTAAGCAAAGACAACAATGTTTCGTACGACATGAATTGTGCGAGATCACAAAAATGAGCGAGATGGGGGAGATGCAATGGTGTGATTGGTAGGCAGCATGTAAGATCATAATCTATATGTGTGAAAGTAAACTACGCAACAAAAGAATAAGAAAAAAAATAAAACAAAAAATAAAAGACACCAAAATTTAAAGTGAACCAACTTGATATCGAAAAAAAAAACATCGAGTCACAGTACAAATCTTTATTCTCTCTCATTCTATTCTTGCTTCCCTTCTCTCTTAACACAATTTTAACTCACAAAAAAAAACTTTATGCAATGGATACTACCATTGAAAAAATGATAAAAAAAACGGTCTAGCCGGCCTTGAGGCATTGCGGTTTGGAGCACTACGACGCTTAACACTGTACCTCCAACCCAACAGACTGCATTGTAGGACTGATTGATAGCGTTGTGGCGCTCTACTCTCAATCTTTTATCCTAACTAACTTCACAACACCAAGGCGCTAGGGTACACGATGTCGGGCGCTTGGAACCTCCCCCCAATGAGCATGAAAAATTGACTTGAGATCCAATGCAACAATATAGCCCAATTGATTGACACAATCAGATTCCACATACTCTAACATATGACGACAATACACATAAGTACAGAGGCGACAAGATTATGGTTGTAGCATAGTCAATCAGCCAATGCCGAGATCGTCATAATACAAGAGAGTTCATAACAATAGTAGGTTTGTAATGATTGAGTTTTACTTAGTTTTAGGATTGTACATTGTGAATTAATTTTATCTAATTTGGATAAATTTAAATTAAAAAATATATATTTTTTAATAATTACATTCTAAAATCTTCAATAAAATACAATGCGTTTATTTTCCATTTATTTAATATCTAAAAATTTAAAATCCAACTATTTCAAAAGCCCTGTTTTTAACTTTTTTTCAATGAAGTAATCAAATATTTTAAATTCACAAAATAAATTTTATAATAATTAAATTTAAATCATTAGTATTATAAAATAAAAGTTTTCTCGAGAGCATGGGCTTGTTTCGTAATTACCATTCTACCCCTGTTTTTCACTTTATTTTCCTTAAGTGAGCTCAACACTCCTCTCGTCTCCATCACGAGTCTCACTCTCTGAAACCCTTGCGATCGATTTCTTCTTTTGGAGATGAGCTTCTCGAGACGATTCGATCTGTTCGAGTCCCACACCCGCGGTACGAAGCCCTCTTTTCTCTTCCCCTCTCCGCTGGAGATGGTGGAAGTGGAGTGGGATGAGCAGGTAGGCTTTGCCCTCGACGTGCTGAGCCCGAGCCTCAGTTCTAAGTCCAGCTTCTTCGACCTATCGCCCGTCCATTCGTGCTTCTTCGACACGTGGGCCTCGGATCTGGCCTCGATATCGTTTCATCCTTTTGCCGCCGCTGTTCGCCGTGCGGAGACTGAGATCCAGCTGCAGAGCCTGAGCAACCGCATCGCCGCACTGGAGGTGGGGTTTGATCGTGCGATTGGGGCGAAGACCGAAGCGAGGGACCGGAAGTTTAAGTGGACGGCGGAGATAAAGGGGCAGAAGGAGGGGGAGTTGGATCGAAAGTATAGGTTAGTGGCGGAAGCAAAAACAGGCGGGGAGAGGAGCGTGAAGTGGACGACGGATGTGAAAGGGAAGGGTAGCTACACGTTTGAGGCGTCAACAGCGCCTGCCGCTGCTGCTAGGTCAAAGAAAGAGAATGAGAAGGACAAGAAGGGGGAGAAGATAAAGAAGAAGGGGACAGAGTCGTCTGCAAGACTGGTGGTGATCGACGAGGAGCCGAACCCTGGAGAGATCGTTATCAGGAAGGTTTGTGATCTCGAATGCTTTCTTAGAAGTTTGAACTGTCCGTTTGGATATTTTGACGGTATTACTTTAGAGATTTTGACGGATGGGTTGTTCATCTGGAATATTCTAGATGGATGCCTGAAATTAGGCACCTTTTTGTTCCGGAGTTAATGTGGCTTGGATTTGTTTAGGTTGTTGAGTTTATCTTCTTTTTATTTTTATTTTTTTGGAATTTTTGGTGTCTTTTATTGAAAAATATTTTTTGTCAGCTATTTCTCTCAGAATTTTTTATCCAAAAAAAAAAAAACTTATATAAATATTAAGTAGGTTAAGCGAGGAGTCATGGGTTTGTGGGGACATGGGATATTGCTCATTGCATTGATATGAGCAAGATAATTATATTTTTAATATAAAAACATTTAAATTATAAGATTTAAATAGTGAATTTTATAAAAAATGATTTAAAATAAATAATTTAACTATTAATCCATAAGAAAATAGGCATTGCTGTGATTATCATCAGTTTGTTGGTCTTTTTTTCCATGAGATATCATTAATTGTTTGTCAAATTTTGGTTTTATTAACTGTAACATTTATGGATTCATCAATATATTAATGATAGTTTACCTCAACATTGATTAATATAAGTTTTTGATGGATGATCATTAATGCGTTGAAGGGTTTGAGAACTTTTTTTTTAGTTTTGCAGTAGAAATATCCAACCTGATCAATCAATTCATGTACTTCTTATCAATTTTATGTTCATTAAATCAATCAGCCATCATTCTTTTCAGCTCAGCCTTTGCTTTAAGTTAATTCAACATTAAATTCCTCAACCACTAATCTTATGAGCTTTAGGCTTCGTTTTTCTTACTGCTTCTTAAAGCAGGTTTCTAGTATAAAAGTTTTAATTTTTGTAGTTAAAGCTGATTTAAGAAAAAAAAAATCGTCTCAAATGAAGCCTTAATATGGGTTTAAAGTTAGGAGCACTTGCTTATAAATACCCACACTTGTGACCCTTCTTTCAGACAAATCTAGAGATCTACATGAGGCTAAAGACATTGCTTCCCTTGCTGTTTAGTGTAGTGCAAAAATATTTTTTTAGCAGAATATCAGGACAGTAAAAATCGTGCTTCTTTATTTGTGAAACTTGTAGAAAATTATCTGTCCTATAGTAATGACAAACCATAGAAATTATAATGCTGGCATAGACGCATCTAACAGCTTGAAAGTTGTTGGTTGTTGCTTCAGAAACGGTGACTTGAACACCCATTTTGGTGAGAGTACATAACAAATGTATCTTTTGAACTAGCACTAATGGAAACATCAAGTTTTCTCCCCAAAACATCAATGACTGTCAATTTTATATTGTAAATGAAAGATTAGTAAACATAAATGGCTGATTTCCAACATAATCAATTATACTGTTGTTGCGTCCAGGAGTATTCGCGGCGGCAGAGAAATATAAAGTTTATCGTCTTAGCATTGTACGAAAATCCGGCACACAATCAAATAAGAGAGAGGGTCTAACATTTATGAGACACCAAGATTTTTACGTGGAAAACCCCTAAAAAGGGGGAAAAACCACGAGGCCTAGCCCTGTTTGAATGAATCCACTAGTATTGTAGTTGATTACAAATGATGTCCTTCCTTGAGGGAAGGCCCTAGCTTGATGTACATCTTATGGACATGATGTTAATACAAAGAGTCATTGTTGACATGTTCGTTTGGTTGGAAGGACCGTAGTCGACGCGGCGACGAAGGTTGGAAGGCTTGTAGTTGGTGGGCGACGTAAGTCAGGAGGACCGTAGTCGACTGGCGACGGAGGTCGGAAGGATTGTAGTCGGCGGACGACGTAAGTCAGGAGGATCGTAGTCGACGGGCGACGGATGTCGGAAAGACTGTAGTCGGCGGGCGACGTAAGTCAGGAGGACTGTAGTCGGCTGGCGACGGAGGTCAGAAGAACTGTTGTCTGACGACGAAGATTAGAAGGACGACGTCAGGTAGAAGTCCAATAAAGGAAAGAAATCCATCTTCGCATAGACGTCCAGCGAAGTCCGATAGCCGGTAAAAGTCCGGCGTCGGTTAGAAACTTGGCGAAGAGTGAAGGTCCGACGTCGGGTAGAAGTCCGACGTCTGTTGGTGGCAGAGGAGAACTCCGGCTTCACTTGGGCGGAGTTTCAGCGTCAGGAGGGAATTCTGTTGTTAATTGGGAAGAATTTCAGCATCACGTGGAAGTTGGGTAGAATTCCGGCTTTCTCCTGAATATCACGCAGAATCCCAGCGTGTTCGGGCGGCAGGACGAACTCCGGCGGTGGTCGAGGAGCTGATTCTCCTCCTTCTCTTCTTCTTCTCTCTCTTAGCTTGACTCCTCTTGTGAAGAATGAGGGCTCTATTTATAGTTTTTCTGGAGTGGCATGGCTTGTAAATAGATGTGAGATCAGGGGCAAACAGGGAGTGGTTGAATGGACGGCTGATATTGAATCCTTTGATCATACACCGTTTATATATATAGGCTCCTACCTTACAAGTCATATTTCTTTCAGGCGATGTAGTGGGCTAAGGGACCACAACATATTTTTGGCATTTGCTATATCATTTGACTTGCACAGTTGCACTGGTGTCTTGAGTCTGGCTATCTTACACTCCCGACGCTTGTTACACTAGTGCCTTATGTTGCTCTTGTATTATTTTGGATGACTTTAAGGTTTATACGGGTGACTCCCTATCACCCATTGGCAGTTTTGAATGCCATTTCTGGGTTAATCACAACATCCATATTATGCACAACAATTGAGTTAGCAATCAATGCCCATACTAATGCTTTTTTTTTTTGACAACTTTCTTATTGCTTAATAAAATGGTTTTTTAGTTCAAAAATAGAAATTTTTGTACTAGAAATTTTTATACTATGAAGCTGCTTTAGAAAATAGTAAGAAAGTCGTCCCAAATGAAGCGTAAGTCACATAATTTTAGTGGTTGAGAAATTGAATGTTGAATTGATTTAAAAGCAAATGTCTGGTAAATAATAATAGCTGATTGGTTTAATGAACATAAAGCTTATGAGATGTAAAATAATTAATTGACTAGTTTAGACATTTTTCTTTAAAAAAAAAATAAGAATTTCTCAAAACGTTCAACACATTAATGATTATAAACTACACATTGATATTTGTTGGGATTTTCTTCGAGGAATCTGTTTCTTGAATGCTTCTACTTAGGGAGAGAGATAAGCAGGAAAGAGAGGGGAATAGAAATTGGAGGAAAAACATAACTTGATCTTATTCCTTTTTCCCACCTTTTACTGGAAACCCAATCCTCTACTTAGAACATTATCAAGCAGGTAAGATAAATCAAAGAAAATAATAGTTAAAATTGAACCAAATACTAATGATCTCCACCTTGGTCCAATTTTACAATGTTTTAACAGAAAAAATGGTAATCCTCACAGTAGTTTTGGATATATAATACATTCATCTCATGAATGGTATTCATCTGAATTTGATGTCACTACTTGAGAAAACACCTGGTGTCCACATGCCCACAAAGATCAGCACAAGAAATGCTTTCCCCATCGGTTGCCGCTTCTCCTCCACCTACTATTCACAAAGAACAACCAAGAAAGGTCTCCACCGAATGGCTTGCTTCTCCTCCATCTGTTGTTGTTCATTTGTTCAACCACAAGCAAGAATCAATCAAGAAGAATCGTCTAAACCTTCTTGCCTCCTCCTAGGTCATGCGATGCTTCTCTTCTCAGTAGCTCTCATCGGACTCGCTCTACCTGATCATCCCCTAATCAACTCAAGCCCGCAACCACACCTCCAGCATACGTGAGCCATGCAGTCGGCCAGTTCGATCCGCTTCCGATAGCTACCCTCCCGCGGCCTCGTGACCGGATCGTGCTTGATTGTGCGTCCGCCGTCCAATTGTGACTTTGAAGCCTGTCTTCTATTCTCGCACGCGAATCCAATCCAGCGGTCTTGCCCAAGCCCAGCAATTGCCTCCGCGCCCTTGTCCTGATTTTAGACCCTCTCTCGCACGACGCCTCCGCCTCCGACTTGATGTCCGACCTGTAGTGTCAACCTCTGATGCGACCTGAGCTCCGTTGTCTCTGCCTTGCCCAATCAGGCAACCCAACCTGCTATAGCCCAATCTCCATTTTAGCTGTTAAGAAATTAATAAAAAGTTTTAAATCTCATTTACCAAGATTTTTTTAAAGTTAAAAAGCAATTCATTTCCTTATTTCATAATTAAATATTTATCATCTCATTCTCCTACCCTTAATAACTTTTTGTTTAAATAGAAAACCATCTCTAGCATACTTGCAAGAGGGCTTTAACCCAGCCACATTTTTAAGTTCGAATATTGTTGTGTTAAATAAGCTGCTGAACTTACAATTAGAATCGGTATCCATAACTCACCAAATATTTAATAAATGCTGTTGCTTGCGCAGAAAAAACGCACATGTTTGTTTAATATATAATGAGCTGGGATTGGAGTCCTGTGCTTTCAACATTCTATTATATTGCTTGTGCAGAAAAAACGGTACTTTAGTTCTAAAGTATTCAATCATAACAAACTAGACATTGAAGCTCATGAAATCATACGAATTTGGTTTACAGAGTTCAATGGCTACTATAGTAATCTGCATTTTAAAATTCAGAGTTTCAAGGAATTCATAAACCAAGAATAAGTTGGTGGTAGTATAACAAGCTATTAGATTACCGCTGTAATATCATCTTCAGCATCGTCATCTTCATTAGCCTAATTGCAGTTATTTGGGGCCTGTTTTATGCATTTTCATTTTCCCTTCATTCGTCTAGTGAGTTATATGAGATAGTAAATCTATTTTTTATAAGTTATTTTAAACAACTTCCACTTTTTAAAATTTTGATCTACCCCTTCTCAATCTTCAGACAGTATTTTTTTCCTCTCTTGTAAGTTTTGACGGTTGTACAATGTATATGCTTAAACATCTTAAATCTATTTTTAGTTATCTTATTTTTTTCGTTAATTTGGAGCTCTTGATTTATATGATTGAATAGTTTAGAACTAAATTGTTGTTTTCCTTTTTTGTGAAGGCCTTTGCCAAGAAAGCTCTTGTTAGTCACAAGGGTAAGAGGAAGGAATTGTCACCTCAAGATGCTGCAGTGTTAATTCAGGTGAACTTTAGAGCTTATCTGGTCAGGCGTTCTCAGGTTATTCGTGGTCTTCGAGAATTGGCTGTTGCCAAAGCAAAGCTGAAGGAGATCAGATCCCTATTCAATAATTTTTCTTATCGACGGCGCATAGCGAGGGACACAGAGGAACAACAGAGATTTACTGAAAAAATCATTGTCCTCCTCCTAACGGTTGAAGCCATTCAGGTATATATCTATTCTAGTCTTCTATTTGCAAATCATTGTTTTCTTTCTCTATGGTAATTAGCAACTCATTTCCATTAATGTGGTACTTTTCTGAGTGAAACCGTAGATGAATACTGTTCATGTGAACTGCATGAAATATATAAATCCATTGATATGTTATTTTATTCCAGTTTACTACAAATTTGGTTCCTGGTTCTTAATCAAATCCAGCTTCTTTGAATCGCCTAGAACTTGTCAATTTTAAAAGGTAAAATTATTCATCTTTGGTGAGATTTAGACTTTGTTTGGGACGGCTTTTTTATTGCTTTTTAAAATAGTTTTTTAGTTTAAAAATTAAAATTTTTATACTAAAAAATTATTTTGAGAAGCAGTAAGAAAACAGTTCCAAACAAAGCCTTTGTTAAATATCACATAACCGTTTTGGCAAAATATCAAATACCTTCTGCAGGTTATCTTTCCCATCTATTTGCCTTTAAAAAAGGATAGTCTTGTCATTAACTTAGAAAGAACATCTCATAACCTAAGATATACAAATAATTTAGAATTTAAAATTAATAAAATATAGCATATTTGCAACCTAAATTTATTTATTAATAATATAAATATAAATTAGTCACTATTTAATTTGTTTTCTTCAGTATTTTTATTATATCTTATTTTTTTTTCATATGGACAACTTTTTTTTTATGAAAATATATAAATGAAAAAATTAACTTTTTTTAGCTCATTTAATATATTTAGAATTGACTAAAATTATATAGTAATTATGTCACGACCCGGCCCGGTTAGCCCGATAATATCGGGGCGGGATCAGTCGGTCGTACGGAAGAGCATAATACATAACATACTTTCATTTAAAACTTAAGGTCAGAACATAAATATCTTCTCAAAATACATGAAAGAGCAACTAAACAACATCAAATTCAAGTGTTTCAAACTGTTCAATATATACAATTGCTATAACTTTTTAATCCATCAATATTACATAAACTCCACTTACTGTTCATTACATAGATACAAATTCAACTCACAAACATCACATAATTAAATTCAAAAACTCAAATTTAAAACATAAAATGAAGCCTTCCATCCCGAGGTCCCCTACGAGGATACGTGAACGGTCGTCGTGCAACCATCACTTCTCTCCTGAAAAATATTTTCAAAAGTAGGATGAGTCAACGCTCAGCATGTAATTCATATTTCAGTTAATTTCATAAGATGTTTATAGCAAAAAAAATTACAATTAGAACTAATTTATTTCATATCATTTTGCAAGTTATAATTTTTAAATTTTTAAATTTTTCTTGCATTTTTCTTTCTTTAACATTTGATTTCTTTCACCTTATTCATATGCAATGCAAAGTGTATGCTAAATGTATCATCCGTCCCGGAAGTACCCTTATTCGTACTGATCAGGTACGTAGTCAAATTTTTTTACCATTTCCTTTACTATTGGTTCATAAGAACCATCTTTTACCATAGCTCATATGAGCTTTCTTTACTAATGCTTGAAAAAGCTCATTTATCATTTTTGGCACTTCTAGATCAACATGCAACATAAAATTATTATTGCTTTTAAATTTTTGAATCATGCTCAATTTTCTTTCATTTTTATTTCATTTATTCTTATACTTTAATTGTTTTTCAATAATAAATGAAATGAAAGCATGAAATTGTAGGGTATTCTTTAAAACATGAATATCAAAACATTTGACAGTAATAAAATATTGACATTAAAATAAATACATGAAATTGCATTCAAAACATAAAATTTAAAACACTTATAAATTTAACTGGGGTTTGAACACCTACCTCAAATTAAGCACAATACGTCGCTTCGACAAAGTCTTTTCTCCTTAACGTTCACAACCTAAAATGGTTCCAAAAGAGACATGTCATTTAACCCTTCATTTTTCTTTAACGATTCCTTATGACACTTAATAGATATTTAATTAAATAAACATTAATTTTCAGATTTAATAAATACTAAAATTTTGGAAAATCATAAAACTCTAATTTCATCAAATTATCGCTCGAAACTTAATCCTAAATATATAATTATAATTATATTAAAATATTCGGATTAAATTAATTATAAAAATTAAGAAAATAAAATTATGCTAAAACTTAATATTTTTTTCTTTAAAAACATTTCCTAAATCCACAACAACAACAACAACAACATCAAGCCTTTATCCCACTACGTGGGGTCGGCAGAAACATTTCCTAAATCCTTAGGAATAATTTTTGTAAAAGCATCTTGAAGTAATTAAAATTTTCGTCAAAAATTCAAATTTATAAATCTCCAAAAATTCCTCCAATTTCTTCGTCTTTACCGTTAAAATGTCCTCTTAATTATTCCTTATTAATTCCATAAAGAAATTTTGAAAGAAAATTAAGTTTTAGAAAAACTCTAGAAAATTCTTTTACAAAATTCTAGAGACCGAGAAAGTTTCGCTGGAAAATAATCATACCGGAGTGTTTCTCTCGTCGTCCTCTTCGATTTGACCTAAAACTTTTGTCGGAAGATCGTCGCTGGAGCGGATCTCGTCGCCCACCCATCGCCTATGCCGTCCGTCCCTTCTCTTTTCCGTTCGGTTCACGCGTGAAATGGAGAGGGAAGGGCTTGGTTGCTATATTAGGGAGAATAGGATTTGCAAATGACCAATTTGCCCTTAAGTAATTCTGGCAATACTAAATGTTAGGAGCAAAATCGAGATTTAGAGACTTCTAAAATTTGTTATTCCAAATTTAGGCAAAATTAGATATATGTTCTATATATCAAAACGATCAGAATTTTGCAAGGGATTTTCAAAAATTATTTCCGTTAAATTCCGACAACTTTGAAATTTTCACTTAAATTTCGTCGCGGCGCTTTGAAAAACGTGCGACGACCTATTAACATCATTTTTGAGTTTTACAATATGTCTAAAATTTTATTAAAAAAGTGCTAAAAAGATCACCCTAGAACAAGCTTCTAATAACTAGCACAAAAGAAAACTCCAGTTGCTAGTTCAACAAGCCATTTTGCCTTCAAGTAAAATATGAAACAACTAATATTTTTTTAAAAATAAATCATAAAGAATATCTTAACAATAAAAAGTATACCAAAATAGATGAATTCATATGTAAGCTACTCAAATTAATATTAAAGAAAAAGAATTTAGGCCTAATTTATTAAGCATAATGTATTAGCTTCATTATCAGTAATTTGTAAATGAGTTATGTAACTCTTCATGTTTAGGGACAATCTTAATGTGCGATAGACCCGTTAGAATTCTGTTTAATACTGGAGCGTCACATTCCTTTATTTCAGAAGAGTTTGTTAAATCTACTAATTTGCTTCCTATATTTATGTTGAAGTCGCTGTTAGTTTTGATGCCTAATGGAAATCATTTGGAAGCTAATCAGAAATGTCAAGTGAATTTGAGGATTTGTGATAAGGACTTGGAAGCAGATCTGATTGTCTTACCTATATCTGAATTTTGATGCAATCTTAGGCATGGATTGGTTATCTTGTCATTTCGTGACTATAGATTGCAACAAAAAGGAGGTTATGTTCTGTATGTCAGGAGAGGAGAAGTTCAAATTTCAAGGGGATAGAGGAATAACTGCAATGATTGTGTCATCTTTGAAGGTCTTTCAGATGTTAAAGAAAGGGTATGAATGCTTCTTGGCCTATGTTAAGGAAGAGGAGGAAAGAGAGCTGAAGGACATCTCAATTGTTCAGGAAATTCAGAGGTGTTTTCTGATGATCTACCTGGTTTACCTCCAAGTAGAGAAATAGATTTCTCTATTGAGTTAGTGGCAGGAGCTGAACCTAGTACTAAGGCTCCTTACAGAATGGCAATTAAAGGCTCTTTACAGACTGGGGAAAGGAAGATAATTGGTGCTGATCTAGTTGATGATGCTACAGAAAAAATTAGATTGATCAGAGATAGATTGAGGGCAATGCAGGACAGACAGAAGAAATACTATGATGTCAAGCACCGACTAGTTGAGTTTGATGTAGGAGAGTGTTTCTTAAAGTTAGTCCAATGAAGGGAGTGAAGAGATTTGACAAAGTGGGAAAGCTGAGTCCATGATTTGTAGGATTATTTGAGATTTCAGAAAGGATTAAAAAGGTGGCTTATAGGTTGATTCTGTCAGCACACATGAGTAGAATACATAATGTGTTTCATATTTCCTCCTTAAAGAAATATATTTCAGATGAGGCTCAGAGGATTAGTACAGATGTGGTAGACATTTAACCTGACTTGACATTTGTTAACGAACCAGATAAGATTCTTGACTTTGAGGTTAAGCAGTTGAGGAGCAGAGCAATTTCTTTTGTTAAGGTGCTTTGGAAGCACAGTTCTGAGAATGATGCCACTTGGGAGAAATAGTCAGAAATGAGGGAGACCTACCCTCATTTATTTGGCTAAGGTATACTCTTATTGTTTAGTATTGTTTTCTTTAAATTTTGATAACGAAATTTTTATTAGGAGGGTAGAATTGTAAAACCCAAAAACGACGTTAATAAATCGTCGCACGTTTTTCAAAGCGCCGTGACGAAATTTAAGTGAAATTTTCAAAGTTGTTATAATTTAACGAAAATAATTTTAGAAAATCCATTGCAAAATTCTAATTGATTTGGTATATATAACATATACTTAATTTTGCCTAAATTTAGAATAACAAATTTTAGAAGTCTCTAAATCTCGGTTTTGCCCCTAACCTTTAATATTGTCGGAATTACTTAAGTACAAATTGGTCATTTGCAAATCCTATTTTCTCCCTAATTTAGCAACCGAGCCCTTCCCTCTCCATTTCACGCGTGAACCGAACGGAAAAGAGACGGGAAGAACGGTATAGGCGACGGGTGGACGACGGGATCCACTCCGGCAACGATCTTCTGACAAAAGTTTTAGGTCAAATCGAAGAGGACGACGAGAGAAACACATGTATGATTATTTTCCAGCAAAACTTTCTCGATCTCTAGATTTTTGGAAAAGAATTTT